CCCCCAAACATGCTACTCTCTCACCATTGATGTCTGGAGTTAGATCCCCGCAGAGGCCATTTCAAAAGGTTTTGGGGGGAATTCAGCTGTCCCTGAAGGGATTTTTTTAGTTTTTGGGTTTTTCTACAAACCCAGGAAGTCGTCTGACTATGTAGGAAAAGTTGTTGGGGGAGAGTGAGCCCCCTGTTGGTGGAAAGAAGTATCCGCACAGGAAAAAAACCTCTGGCTAATAGAATAAGGATGTACCAGACCAGAACTTGGGAATGTAGATTAATTAAAATTTTCAAGGTGGACTTACCTATGTGTCTCATAACTGGGGCCTCATTGGCAGCTGTTGTAATGATATAAGAAATATGATCTGTAGGGTCTTTAGATATGGGCACATACCATATAGTATCTTGTAACTATCTAAAGGGAGAACGAGACACAGTAAACTGGGTGACCACCTCCATGTACAGCAGATGCTCTACTTCTAAGCTACGGCCTTTCCAGACAAGGATGTGAGAATTGGACTAACATGCGGAGGATATGAGACTCCCACTAAGCAATGCTGGTTTGTGTCTGCCACAGGAGAATGTGATTCGGGAGTTCAACCTGAACGAGTTGTACCAGAGAGCCAAGAAAACACCTAAGCAGAGTGAAGAGATCTCTGAGGAGCAACCTACTTCAACGGAGCTGCTCAATGGAGAGACTAAAAAGGATAAATAGAACCCACTGGACTGGACTGTGTGTTCCTTGCCATTTAGTTTCCCATTTCTTCATTTCCATCTTAACCCCTGACATGAGTCACCAAGCAATGGCCTCTATCCAGCAGGGCAAGGAGCTGTATTTAAAAAGAATGATCCTCCTCACCAGTTCTTTTCGTTGCTTCTCTGCTGGTGGTTTTTTGTTTTCTTTTGTTTTTGTTTAGTTTTGTTCCTGATTCATTTCCCAGGACAATCTGGGGCTTGCTTTGAGGAGCAGATTAGAATAGCTAAGAGGCATTATTTCCCATTATGGATATCATACTACATTTTGGTTTTCAATGAGTTGAAAGGTTCTGCAAATGAGTAGAGGTTATTGAAAGAAGCAGCACCTTCAGTTGTGGGGGGGCGGCGGCAAAGGGGCCCCATCTCCTGTTCACTAGTGTTAAGCTCTTCCATTAAACAAACACTGCCAGTTTTGACCAATTCTCCTGTCAAAACTGACACTTCAATCCTGTTGATTTGATTTTCTTCAGGGTGATCTCTTTGGCGGAGGAGATATTAAAAAGAGAAATTCATCGTCTGGAAGTTTCTGCTATTCACTACCCATTACGCTCTGTAATAAATCCTGTAAATCCAGAAATCCTGATGGTGTCTCTTTCCATCATTTGGGGTTTAAATCCTTGAGTGCCAGAAATGGAATGCTAGCTGATCTGAACATGCTGCTGTGCCAGAGACTAAGCAGCTGCCTAGTCTTGAAGGATCTCCTGTACTCTGTATCAGTGGCTGCTCATGTAGAGTCACCCGTCTGTGCCTGGGGCTCCTACTGTCTCTAGTGTACAAAATACAGGATGGTGGCTTGTAGGGATGTGGTGAATATGGGGAGTTTAGTCATAAGCTCCTTTTTTTTTTAACCATGCTCACATTTTAGTCTTCTGATTCTATTAATGGTCTTCTACATATGTCTCTAATAAATTGGGAATGTTGTTTATTAGTGTGCTGCTGTTTTCTGAGTTACAATATAACTGGTACCTGTGCTGTATTACAGAGCTTGGATCCTTTGGAACTCTTCTGCTGCCAGAAAGGATTTCTGTTTTTCCTGGGGCCAAGGGATGCCCAGGAACTGCATGAGTGAAGTCTGAGGTCCATAGTAGGATGTGGGAATTGTGCTTCTGCAACTTTTTATGTTAACTTAAGAATGAAAGAAGTCCTGCTGGATCAAACCAGTGGTCCATCTAGCCTTGCATCCTGTCTCGTACACTGGCCAACCAGTTCCTCTGGGGGGCCAACAACAGAGCATATAGGCTGAGGCCTTCTCCTGATACTGCCTCCTGGTACTGTTATTCAGAGGATTATGTTATCTGTGGAGGTTCCCTTTAATAGCTATTGATCGTTCTAACCAGTGTTCCCTCTAAGATGAGTTAGTGTGAGCTAGCTGACAGTTTTTTTAGCCACCGGCTCACCCATTTTTGTCTCCACTCAGGAAGGAGGGCTCCAGAGCAGACTAAGTTATGCAGCAGCCCAATCGCTGGCTCACAACTTTAAGGCCAGGAGCTCACAAAGTAGAATTTTTGCTCACAAGACTCCACAGTTTAGAGGGAGCATTGGTTCTAACCCCCATGAATCTGGTTAATCCCCTTTTTAAACCATCTCTGTCTGCAGCCATCACTACATTCACTGCCCCAAGTAACACCCACCAAGGGAAAACTATTAACAGTTCACAACTATATATAAGAACATAAGAGACGCCAATGTTGCATCAGGCCAAAGGCCCATCCAGTCCAACACTCTGTGTCACACAGTGGCCAGAAATACCAGTGCCATCAGGAGGTCCAGAAGTGGGGTCAGGACATTAGAAGCCCTCCCACTGTTGACCCCCCCCCCAAGCACTAAGAAGACAGAGCATCACTTGCCCCAGAGCCCCTAGCTATACCTTGTGGCTAATAGCCACTGATGGACCTCTGCTCCATATGCTTATCTAATTCCCTTTTGAAGCCGTCCATGCTTGTAGCACCCACCACTTCCTGTAGCAGTGAATTCCATGTGTTAATCACTCTTTGGGTGAAGAAGTACTTCCTTTTATCCGTTCTAACCCGACCGCTCTGCAGTTTCATGGAGTGCCCACGAGTTCTTGTATTGTGAGAAAGGGAGAAAAGTACCTCTTTCTTTACCTGCTCTTTCCCATGCATAATCTTATAAACCTCGATCATGTCACCCCTCAGTCGTCTTTTCTCCAAGCTAAAGAGCCCTAAGCGCTTTAACCTTTCCTCATAGGGAAAGTGTTCCAACCCTTTTATCATTCGAGTTGCCCTTTTCTGCACTTTTTCCAAAGCTATAATATCCTTTTTAAGGTGTGGTGCCCAGAACTGCACACAGTATTCCAAATGAGGTCTCACCATTGATTTATATAGGGGCATTATTATATTGGCTGATCTGTTTTCAATACCCTTCCTAATAATCCCCAGCATAGCATTGGCCTTCTTTATTGCAGTCACACACTGTCTCGACATTTTCAGTGAGTTATCCACTACAACTCCAAGATCTCTCTCTTGCTCAGTCTCTGCCAGTTCAGACCCCATCAATGTGTATTTATATTTAGGATTTTTGGCTCCAATGTGCATCACCTTGCACTTGGCCACATTGAACCCCATTTGCCATGTTGACGCCCACTCGCCCATCCTTGACAGATCCCCTTGGAGTGCCTCACAATCCTCACTGGTTTTCACCACCCTGAACAACTTTGTATCATCCGCAAATTTAGCCACTTCACTGCTTACTCCCATCTCCAAATCATTAATGAACAAGTTAAAAAGCAGTGGACCAAGTACTGATCCCTGCGGTACCCCACTGCTTACCCCACTGCGGTACCCCACTGATCAAAATTGTTTATTAGTACAAGGATGGGTTAGTGGTCATAACCCAGATAGAATGCATAAACACTTGGGAGGCGGGGTCTATGGCACAACAATGGCGGACGCCTTTCCCGATGCTCCGGGAAGGCGCACCGCACAACTGCAGAGGGGAGGGGTGCCGCTGGATCGGCACCTCCACGGGGGGTCAGGGAGAACCCCCCCCCAGGCCATAGGGCTTTTGAAGGTGAGCCTCTTTTCCTGCTATCTGCAGGGAAATTGAGGCTGCCCTCCGCCCTGA